TTTCAGCTCTTCACAAGTTCACTGCTGAACATAGGCCTCCCCCAAGGAATGCCACAAACCACGGTCCTGAGCCACCTGCATCCATCGACTTCCTGCATGTCTTACCAGGTTGTCACTCCATTTAGTGGGGGAACTTCGTCCGCTCGTACGAAGCCGCCACTAGAAAACCTTTTTTTCTTATCGGTTGTTGGTTCGTTGAGCTATATGGCCGGCCTCTGCTAGACTAGGCAACACTAGGACTCACTCAGTGAATTAAGTAAAAGTTATAGTTCACAGTGTAATGATTCATTTGAATGATCGACCTGAATAACCCGGTACGTATGACGAATAAATACTTGATTCTTCCGGTCACTAGAAATGAATGAATGACACATGTCTAATAATTAACAGTAAAGTATTGGAATGTATCTTTAAGTAGTAACAATGTCAGTATCATTACTGCATCATAGCGGTACTGACTTTAGTTAGTGAGTTATTTGAGGATGTTGTTCAATTGTTTATTTGATTTCATTAGCAAGTAATAATAATTTTAATTATTTTCGTTGGCTCGGCAGCGGTCAAGACATTGCAGCAAATCTCTTTCAGTTTAGGTATTACTAAACACATGAAAACAAGATTATACGACTTCACTGCTAACTGTATGAGAAAGCTCAAGGTCGACAAGCAAGCTATGAAGATAGCTATGCTCGGGATTTCTCTGCGTGATAGATATAAATGAGGATGAAATGTAAATGAGGAGGCAGTGGGCCAGATAGATGGAAGAACCGACAACCGATGGGCAAGAAAGGTTCTTGAGTGGCAGCCTTGTACCGATAAGGGAAGTATAGGACGACCTCCCACTAGATGGAGTGTCAACTTGGTAAGTTATGCAGGAAGTCGAATGAAGTGCAACAAAGACACTTTCTTTGTTTGGGTACACTTTGATTGCAGAAAATGTTTAAATATTATAATTGATTAAGAATTTATTATAATTTATATAGTGAACGCAAATATTTGCCTTCACTGGTTATTAGTAAGATTCTTAAACTATATCCAAAAAAGCAAACATTTTTTAAAAATGATCGAGGCAGTTTCTGTTATAAAAATTAATATAATGTTATTTGAAATTCTAATCGCTCTATGAATCGATTTCCTATGTCTTTGTTGAGTTATTATATTTTAAAAAGTACCTACATTTCGTACTTTATTTCACTCTTTTTGAAAGTAAGGTGTAAATAGACATATTGTTTTATAAACAAAAATTATATTAGTTTTAATTTATGTTTTTAGTTTCAATAGAAATGATGTGGACAACCGCTTTTTGATTGATAAACGATTATTCATTTAGAGTAGATAGAGATACGATTATTCATTCATTGCTTAATCGAGCATAAAAGAATCGAATCGACCATCGCTAACTGTGAAACATTGTCCCACAGACTACTAAGAGGATACTAGTCTAGTGTTATTATAGTATAATATATATATATATATATATATATATATATATATATATATATATATATATATATATATATAATGTTATTGCAATGTTAAATGTTAATTAAGTTAAAGTTTACAAATTTTTTTTTTGGAGTTTATGGCCTGGTATCTAGACCTTTAGGCCAAGTCTTAAGTATTTTTATTCGGTTTATTGTAATTTCCCCACTCCTTCATAGTATACTGCTTCACAATATGTTGATGCGTCACATTGTGCAGTTCTTGGGAGCAACTTGATCCAGCAGACAGCTGATAGTTGGCGATGGTATCTAAAGGTGCCTATGCAAACCAACAGCTTATCTTGAGAATCCATCACCATCAGAGCACTTGTTTCACTGTTTCCACTAATAGTTCACATGCGTAGACACTTAATACACAAAATCGCAACACTTTTACATATCAAAGTCCACTTTAAACCATTATTTAAACAATAATACAGGAGCAGCAAACCGCCGCCGCTCAATTTCCCGCCAAAACTAAGTTTACAAATTATGACATAATAGTTACACAGAATACTTTGAATAATTTTACATAATATCTGTTCCCGGACCTCGTCCGCTTGGTTTTTATTACGATTGGGTTTCATGGGTTTTAATTTCATTGCGTGGAATCCTAATTCTTTTTCTAAAATAATAGTAGCCTGTGTTTCTCCTTATAACATCAGAGATCTGCCAGGCCAGCTATAAGTCGGAACAAATAGACAGACAGAAAAATATTAAAAAAATTATTTTTGTCTGTTTTTTATAAATACCGTATATACTTTCATATGTATTTAGTAAAAGGTTGTTATTTTGATATTACAAACAGACACTTCAATATATAAGTAGATTATACTATGTATTAATTTGAAAATAAAAATCATCATCTACTTCATGTTGATTGCAACATTCATATTGACATTTAAACAAAAAAATGGTAAATGGCTGCCAGCATCTGTAATTTTCAGTACGGCGTTGACTGCACCTGCCCCCACCCCCCACCCCCTCAGAGCCTATGAATTTGGAGTATATATATAAAAAAATACTGGCGGACGTATTTTAAATAGCACATCTCAAAAATATTAATTATTTAAGCTGCATCTATGTAGTTTAGAAATAAAAAATAGTTAAATTCGTTCACCTTATAATGTCAATATTACTTCAAATAATTAGAATTGGGTACTTTTTACAGTATAACAAAAGTGCATCTTGCTTGAATATAATTGCACCATCGTTAAAATGCGCGCTATTTCTAATTTGTTGTGTTGTTAGTTGTGTAAAAAACATGATTGTAAGCTGTTATTCAAAAAAAAAGTCCCGCTGGGTTTCTTGCTGGTTTTTCCCAGGACGGAGGTTTTTTTCGAACCAGTGGTAATTAAACAAAAGAGTGACTTTCAATAAGTAATATTTATAATCTATGTTGAATAAAAAGTTTTTGTTTCTGTAAATAAAAGTTTTACAAAGTAAAACAATATATTAGAGCAAACTGTGCAGTGCCAAGACAAACACAATTGTGTTTAATGGCACGAATAAATTGTATTGTAATTAAAACTGTTACTTTGTTGAAATAAATTAAAAAAAATCCCAACTTTTCTTATTTTGCAGACGTGCCATAAAATTGTAAAACCAGGTAATGTAGAAAATTCGACTTTGTATCAATGCACTAAAACATACTTTTTTTTTCGCTTTTTACGATTCTACTAAGTGCTAGAAGTTTCCTCAATTCTGGGCACATAACTGATTATTTTTGCGCCGTATGCTCTAAGTGATTTTTAGTCACATATTAGAATTATTATTCTACAAGATAATTATTTTATTTTCCCTGTACATTATATTATATCATATTTACCAAACCATTTCAAAATAATAAAATAGGTAATTTTCGAATTATTTATTAACTAAAAGAAAATTTTTCGGTTCATTATAGCTAATCTAATACATATATAAATATAAAAAACTAACAAATAAATTTTCAAAATTCTTTTAACAAAGATGAAATCACAAATCAAAATACATTTGGTTCTTATTGATTATTTTGTAAAACTTTGAAATCACTTTGTAAAAGTTACTAAACAGTTATTTTAATCTAAGAAGAAAGATTGTCGTAAAATAATGTCAATCGCGGTGCATGAAAGGTGTCAATGAATCAAAAAATCAAATAAACTGTCAAATTTATCCTTTTCAATTTTTCTTGGATCAGTATACAAACACTGAGCTTCGTCGTACAAATCAGTCTTCCTCCTCTGCGGTAAAAGGGCCCATTCCGTTTCATCGTGCTTCATTTTGTAAAAAAATTCACCATTATTGCACAAAAGTGATCTAATATCGGCCACAGTGGGATCACCTGCTTTTTTCTCGAGACGTATCGATGTGAAATTTTTAGGTATTCTTCAAAGTTCTTAAAAACTTATAGTCCACATGTGTGATAATCACTTACCGGCAGATTACGTGATGTAACATGTATAAAGGTGCTAACAAGCTACATGATCGAAAAGGATTCGGTGATATCAACATCAATGTGGAGTACATTACTCACATTCGATATAGTCATGATAACAGAATCGCTGCAGAACCTTAGCACTATACTTAATTACCTCAAATATCTCCCAACGGATAGGTTTCAAGATGAACATGGACAAGACAAAGGTCAATTGTTACAATGTAACATCTGTGTCATATTTATGCCCGAAGCTCTAGGGAGCACCTAAGCTTGAAGTTGTTTGATGAGATTACCTGGGACAAATTGTCCGAATTGGTAAGTTCAGCTTCACCTTCAACTGAGAGGTCAATCGACGCATCCAGCTCAGATGGGCAGCGTTCGGGAGATTAATACAAGTATTTTCGTTATATATCTCTAAAGAAAACAAGAGTGAACAATCAGTACGTGTTGTCAGTTCACACGATTACATATAGATGGTACGATTACATATGGATCTAAAACGTTGTCATTCACTGCTGGCCGTATGAGGAAGCTCAACGGCGCTAAACGATGCTATGCTCGAAGTTAATCAGCGTGTTAGACTTCTTTATAAGGATATTCACAGTATAACCATAGTAATCGACATAGCCCAACGAATCAATAAGTAAAAGTAAAAATGTATAAGCCATATTGCTCGAAGAAGAGACAACCGATGGAGAAGAAAGTTTCTTGAGTGGCAGCCTACTACCCGGTAAGCGAATTTTGTGGTGGCTCCCAACTAGATGCATTGGCGACGGGATAGGTGATGCAGAAAGTCGACGAATGCGGCGGTTCCTTGTGGGATGACGATGATGATGAAAATATGTGTATTTTATTCATCGTTCTTATCATTTATGACTCACCGCAACCATTAACCATTATGTGCATAACATGCTCGTTTGTCATCATTAGTTCTACAAATAATAATAATTCTATTAATATCCGTAATTTTTCTTCTCAGCGATTCTTTCGTAGATAATATGGTGAGCCACAACTAGCATTTCTTGGAGCGAAAGAAAATAAAATTTGGATTTTGACTATAAAAAAAAAAACCGTAAATTAATCACAACACTTAATACTAGTAATTAATGGTCATACAACCTAACTAACTTGTCTGACTGTTCAATATTGGAGGAATTCATGTTATCGATATACTTCCCGTGCACGAAATATAGTTCAATTTCTTGCATTGTCCTTCCTTTTGTTTCTGGCATGTAAACCCAAAGATATACTAAGCATAAAAACACTATTACAGAATTTAATAGAAATACTCCATGGTAGCCCATTAAAGCAAACATACTTGGAGCTAATTTTACACTTAAAAATGTAGCAAAACCAGCAAAAGATCCTATAGTAAAAATACAATAAGGCTTCAGCTCTAGTGGAAAAATTTCAGCTAATAATATTTCTAACACTGCACAAGGACCGGCGTAAATAATGACAAAATAAAGAGCTAAAACTGAAGAGCAAACCCATGCAAAATAAACATTGCTTTTTGGGATAAAATAAAGGCAAATGCTCAATATAATAAGGGCAAAATTTGATATTAATCCAAATGAAAACAAAAGAGTTCTTAGTTTCATTTTCTTTAAGAGCAAACTGGGTAATATTGATCCTATAATAATAAATCCATCTATCAACAACGTAAAAAACAAAATTTTTGAACTCCCTGTTATTTCTTGTAACATCGTTATTGCCATTGTACTGTACAAAATTCTTCCAGCCGCCACCCGATATATGCAAATAACTATACACAATGCAATTATCTTCCAAAGATACCATTGTTTTAATGCTGTCGTTATTATTTCAATTGTCACATATGATTTATTTGGTTTGGTTTTCTGTTTTGTTTTCTCCAAATTAACAAGTAAGGCTAACTCTAATTCAGATTCATCACCGCGACCGTGCAATTTTCTGAACGCTACCTGGCATTCATCGAATCTGCCTTTCGACGCCAACCACGACGGACTTTCGACCCAAAAACACGGCAGTAGAACTGATAATCCAGTAGGAATTATTCCTATCAGTGCAACTGTCCTCCAGTGCAGTAAAACACTCATTACGTGTCCTAATGTCGTGCCTATTGATGGACCTACGGCCGAAATAATATTGATACATATCGCCCTCTTGCTGGGTGTTGTATATTCAGCCATTGCAACGTTAGTTAATACAATTACTCCCCCATAACTGACGCCGACTATAACTCTAGAAGCAATTAAAGTTGCTAGGTCCGTAGCGAAATAGACCATTATCCACGTCAACAGCACCGGGAGGCTTAGGAAAGTTATAGCGCGTTTTCGTCCGAATTTTTCCGTGATAAGCCCGGCTAAGGCAAATCCACATATGCATGTTGCGTTTATTGAAGAAGCTAAAAGAGTAAAAAAAATATTGAAAAAAGCTATTAAAAATTTGACTATACATAATTTATATATACTTATCTTTACGTGTTAGAGTCACGCTGCATCTACATTATGGTACGTATGAGTCGGTTCAGCCGGGGTAAGTTCACGGTCTCACAGAAGACCAGCGTAAAATAGCAGTTAAATGCCGCTCTGTTACATATGGTGAGTGTAGAAAAATGGAGACCCTTTTACTGGAACGAGGCATTCCTCTAATCTATCGGGAAAAATCCCACTCCATACTAACACTGCAAGGGGCAAACGGAGTGATAAAACCATAGCGACGCCTGCCATGCTATTTGTGGGCTTCTGCTACATTAGGGGACTTCACTGGAACCTTAATGCCATCCGCTACCATCTAGAGATGGTGAAGCCGGCCTTGCTCTTTTTGACCTAGACGCAGGTGTCTTCTCCGGCTGATACTTCTTACCTGTTCTACCCGGGGTACAAACGAAGAGTAAGGACGAAGGTATGAACCTGTCCATCCTTTGGCTACGCGTAGAAAGCGACGACCATCCTCGCGTCTACGGGTGCCTGTATAGGTCCCATAGCGATAATGCTGACACAGACCAACTCATAGACACGTGGTCTATGGCTATATGTGGCGGTAAAAATGGCTACAGATTTTAGTTCTTGCTACAACAGATCCCATCCGTAGAGATCGTGATACTTGGCGATTTCAACGCTCACCACACCGAATGACTCGGTTCACGTTTAACTTTTTTTTTCATAGGATAGGGTGACAAACGAGCACACAGTCCACCTGATAGTAAGTGGTTACTGTGACCCATAGACATCTACATCTATCCTCAATAAAGACTCAAGATGCAGATGCGTTGTCGTCCGTGAGGACTAAGATGGAATGCCTCTTTGCCAGTAAAAAGGATCTCCGGTTCTCTACACTCACCATACGAAACACAGCAGCGTTAAGCTGCTATTTTACGCTGGTTTTCTGTGAGAGCGTGGTCCTTCCCCGGTCGAGCCGACCCATTCGTGCTACAACTATACTACTAATATAGCTGCAGCATGGCTCTACCACGTGAAGCTGACCTGATCATGCGGGGAGATCTGTTTATGACTTTGTCTTGGGATATGGTCTGACACAACTGGTTACTTCGCCTACACGGATTCCGGATATAGAGGATCATACATCTTTCCTGTTGGACCTTCTGCTGACCTCTCATCCGGACGCGTATCAGGTTTCCGTCGATGCCGATCTCGGCTCTTCGCACCATTGTCTGATCGGGAGTGTGGTGCCACTCATGCACCCCTCGTGGTTGCGTTCTCCAGGGTGCCGCCATGTTTGGCATTAGAGGTTGGCGGATGGGGATTGGGATTCTTTGCATCCTATCCATGGGGGCGAGTTTGCTTCTCGCCGGATAATCCCAGCGCTGTTGATGACTCTGTCACTAATGTGGTGCTACAGGGAATGGAGTGATTTTTTCCATCATCTGTGGTATCCATCGGAGGCAGATCTCGGTCTTGATTTGATCGCTCCTGTAAGACGGCATTACGCAGTAAGCAGGAGTGTTATCAGGCCTGGGCTGAGGCTTCGGCGGCTCGGGACATAAACACCAGAATGCTTAAAAAGAATTATAACTTCGCGTCCAGGTCCTTCAAAAGAGTTATTGCTAAGGCAAAGTATGAGCACATTGCAGAATTGGTGAGAAATTAGTTCGCCTTTCCTCGGAATCCGTGCATTATGGACTCTGAAGTGGGCCTGACGGAATCCCGCCAATTGTGCCGAGGTAGTGCACTCCAGAGTTGGCACCGGTTCTCACACATCTTTTCCGGTACTCCTACTCCCTAGGCGTGGTCATGAAATCATGGAAGACAGCTTTTGTGCCCGATCCCTAAAAAAAGTAACCACTCTGATCCGTTCAACTACAGGCCTATCGTCATTACCTCCTTGTTCTTGAAAATAATACAGTCCATTATTAACTGTCAGCACATGCGGTACCTTGAGGAGAACCAGCTGATTAGTGACCGCCAGTACGGTTTCCGTCAAGGTCGCTCAGCTGGTGATCTTCTGGTTTACCTAACACATAGATGGGCGCAGGTGATCGAGTCCAAGGGGGAAGCATTGGGCGTTAGTTTGGAAATAGCGAAGGCCTTCGTTCGGGTCTGAAACAAAGCGCTTCTTTCGAAGCTTCCTACTATGGGATTCCCGAGAAATTGTGCAATCGGATCACCAGTTTTCTGGCTGATCGGAGCGTCAAGGTCGTAGTAGATGGTGCATGCTCCGATTACAAGCCTATTAACGCTGGTGTGCTACAAGGCTGCGTGCTATCACCAACGCTGTTTCTTCTGCATATCAATGATATGTTGCAAACTGGTAACATTCATTGCTATGCAGATGACAGCACTGGTGATGCTCTATACACCGGCCGTGCCAATATTTCTCGGGAAAACATCGCCGTGTACCAGAACAAACTTTTGTCTGCAGTCGAGTCTTTGCTGAACAAAGTCTCGGATTGTGGGCAACTAAGTTTAGTCCAGTTTAATTCTCAGAAGACACAAGTTTGCAAATTTACCGCTGAAAAGCACTCCTTTGTCGTATTTCCTCAGTTTCAAGGCACTCCCCATGTTCCCTCAGCCAGTATCTGAATCCTCGACGTCGATATATCGAATGACGTGCAGTTTCGTGGTCACATAGAAGTGAAGGCCAAATTGACCTCTAAAAAGCTTGGCGCGCTCAGCAGAGCGGGACAGATTCTCATGCCGGCACACCGCTTGCAACTTTACAAGGGGCAGGTTCGGCCGCACAACTGTATTACTGTTCCCATCTCTGCTCCGCTGGGGCTCCCTAGAGTCAGTTCCTTCCACTTGATCGCATCCAGCGCAGAGTGACTCGAATCGTCGACGACCGAGTCCTTTCCGATCGGCTCGATTCACTACCGCTGCGAAGAGATATTGTATCCCTTTGCATTTACTTTCGCATTTACCACGGGGAGTGCTCCGAGGAATTGTTCGGATTAATCCCAGCTGCCATTTCACGAACGCGCATCGTGACAAAACTCCTGATACCATCCACACCATCTGAATGCTTGGCGGTCCACCATTGTACGTTTCATTAGGAGTTTTCTTCAGCGTACGACCTCTCTGTGGAATAGTTTACAACCGGCGATTTTTCCGGATCGATATGATTTAGGGACCTTCAAGAAAAGAGCTTACTCCTTTTTAAAAGGCCGGCAACGCACTTGAAATTCGCCTTATTTTGCAGTTGTTCATAGGCGGTGGTAGTCACTTATCATTAGGTGAGCCGTATGCTCGTTTGCCCCGACTCCTATATAAAACATGCTTGCTATGGCTTCTCTAGTACGTAGTACATATAACTCAATGATTTCAGACCTCAGAGGTGACAAGGCATCTGCATTTTGATTCTTAATCGATAATAAATATAGATGTCTATGGACCACAGCATCCACTTACCACCAGGTGGTCTGTGTGCTCGCTTGTCACCCTTATTCTATAAAAAAAATATAATTCATATACTCAATACTGTAAAGGCAAAATGACAATGAATAACCTATAAATATTATCAGAAGCCCAAACGTTATTATTTGAACATAATTTACATTATATTTATATTATTATAACATATATTAGAAATATTACCAATCCATGAAATATCACTGTCGCTGAGAGGAATTTCGCTATTTGCACCTCGCAAAGCGTCCATCATACCTGACATCTGACCGAAAATGAATCCATCAGAGACGCTACATAGCGTTAGCCCAGCTATGATAGAAGCCTGTAATATAATATACAATATAATAATTTTTTTTGCTTTTAATTACAAATTAATGCTACTTGAAATTGACTACAATGTTATTTTTCCCGATATTTACGTAACTGCTAGAATATACCTTTAGATATAATATCGATTTATAAAGTGTATTTCTTAGAGTATTTAAAAAGAAGTGCGTATAAATACACTAAGTAATAGTACATAATATACAGTACACGTTACTACTGAGTGGGTCCTATTCACATTACCTATTTTAAATTAATTACAGTAAGAGTAACCATTTTTGACATTCCGTATGTATATTAGAATTTATTTTATCAATTTTTCACTTTTAAACAAAATTTAAAAGATTTCACATAAAACATAGCCCAGATCACTCTGCATTGTTTTCGGTCATTCCACAGATTAGCCCAAACCTATTATTTATTCTGTGCTCAAACCTGTCTTAATGGCATGGCAATGACCCCAACAGCTTAGAAATATATTATAGCCATAGAATTTCTATGATTATAGCATATTACAGGCGGATTCGGAATGATGAAAATAAGTTATTGGCAAATAAAATAAATATAAATAAGTACCAACCTTTCTAAAGCTCGTCATTTTCGCACTAGCAAACTGTTCATATGAATTCTATTTACTTTCTATTTATCTCTTTTTTTTTTTGAAGAATTGCCCATTAAATTATTATTAAACTTATTACTATTACACTTATTAAATTGTTATTCTGCGTGATCTGTAAAATATATAAAAAAAACTTTAATATTATGTGAAATGAATAACCATTAGTTTAACGACAAAAAAACTGAATTGTTATTATATACATACTTATATTGAAGTATTCTATTGAGTCTCGTGACTTTCATCTACAGAAAGAGATGGATACTTTTATTGAATTAAGAATTTAAGACAAACTATGTATCAACAGTGTGGTAAGAGTTATCGAACACTTTAAAATAATTAATGTGTAAAGTATGCGCCATTTTGTATACTTATGTGTTCTTTAAGGAGAAGTGGATGTTTAACAATTTAAATAATTTCATTGTTGTATCCACATTATAAATTGTTTTGATTATTTCTTTGAGCAACGACCAACTTGAAATATTCGTCGCCTTCGTTCAGTGCTTCAGAAAATATAAAATAACATTTAATTTTCTTAAACCTTTTCCTCCAGCTTCCCGGGTGAATTGGCTTGGTACATTGAATGTGAGTTTTTAACGTTTACTTCGTTTCGAATTATAAATTTGTGTTCAACCAAATGTTAGGGACTAATAAAACCAGTATAATCTTCTATCTCTTAAAGTTTTCATGCAAAATCAAATTTTAACTTTACTTCAACGCCATTATACTCCAAAATTGTTAAACGAGTGTTAAGGGATAAAATTATAAGTTTTTTTTTACGTGAGCTATAATATCTGCAATTTTATTTTTATCTAACGCTCCGCAACCAAAGACGTATTAAAAAAGATAGACAGGTTATACACTAACATGCATTGCAAACGGAATCCCGAAACGGAATTCCGTATATATATGTGGCCGGCCTAAAACATCTTAGTCCGCAACGGCTTTGCCTAGGTAGGATCTGCCGTCATTTAGATTTAAGATAATCATTTATAATATATATAATTTTTCGATTTTCTCTCTCTAACGAAAATATGGTAATATGCAAAAAATTACTTGGTGAGATCTATTAATGTGGTGTCATTTAGATTTTTTAAAATATGACATTAATCACTATTTATTTTAGAAATATTTAGTATTCATAGAAAAAAAAATCTCCAAGTTTATTAAATAAAATTTAGCCTAGACTAGATCACACTTGGCATTGTTCTCTATCTCTTTGTTGTATAAGTAGTTGTTTAGTAAGTTTCATTACATTCGGTTTAGCCATTCCGAAGATTTGCCTAGACAGATAAGCAGTCAGACAATTAAAAAGAAATGGTTGTTGGTGCCTTAATGGCATATGTTGCATTCTACCGTAAATCGAAACGAAGCAGTGAAAAAAATTTGAATGTGAATGGACGAGCATAATCGAAGCTGTTGACCGTTATGGTTCGATTATGCTGGTCCATTGTGGTACCGTAGTAAACGATATTATATTCGTTACACATTAGTTCTTTGCCTTTATCTTTCAGTAAAGAAGTTTTATTACATCTTTAAATTTCTTAAATTGTATGCAAATACGACAAAAAGGCAAGATTTTTATTTTATGAATTCATGGAATATGACTGATATAATCATCACGTAAAAGCTCTTATTGCATCCAGTATTAGGATCTTGGGCAAACATTATTCATATAGCCCCACAACTTAATTTTCAGTGCCGCCCTCGTACGTTAAAAATGGCACAACTATCGTTAAACTAGAGACAGAGTTGTTTCACAAAATATTTGCCTTCAAAATGATAAAAACGATAATCGGAGATTTGCATAAAGGCCATAATACGCGCGCATGCAAGCTTGCAGGTACGTGCAAAATATGCGAAAAATGTCACAATACCTTTTTACACAAACTTACGGATTCTGATACCAATGTGGCAGTCACTAATGTTGCAGTCTGTGAGCCAGTTTCGTTGTCAGTTGTTTCTGCTTCTGAGATACTGTTATGTATGGCTTTGGTTGATATTTTCAATCCCACATCAAACAATTACATTACCACTAAAGCTATCTTAGGTAGTCAGTCTAGCTTTATTACAGAAGCACTTAAATCAAAATTAAATTTAACTTCTTCCACGTCCGATGTTAGGAATGTTGTCGGTATATGTAACACTATTGTCAAGCTTAATGCTGAATGTTGCAATGTTCAAATTCATTCAAAGGTAGATTCTTTCAGCGTTATGACGTCATGTTTAGTCATACCCCAAATATCAGGTAAGATACCTAAGTCTCTTGTGTCTATTACACACCTTAACCTGAAGTCATTTGAATTAGCAGACCCCAGCTTTTATGAGCCGTCTGACATAGGACTGCTCATCGATGCTGACCTATTTTGGTCCATTATTGGAACCAAACAGCACTCTTTAGGCAAAGGAAATCCTATTCTACATGAGTCTAAATTAGAATGGGCTATCGCAGGTCCCATGCACTATATTCAAAATAACAATCTCATTTCCCCAGTGAAATGTAATTTTGTAAGTATTGAAAACAACAATACTTAAGTTGAGCTTCACAATTATTTGAAGAGGTTTTGAGAGCTTGAAAGCTTGCCACAAAAGCCCCTTCTTACACACCAAGAGCAAGCTTGCAAACAACATTTTTTACAGCACATAAACGCACTGAAAAAAGGTCGTTTTTGTGTCAAGCTGCCATTGATCGACGAACGAGACTGCCTAGGCAGTTCCTATTTCATGGCCAGGCAGAGATTTATAAGCCTGGAACGTCGCTTCCACAAGCAACCGAAACTTAAATCCGCCTATGTAGACTTCATAGAGGAGTATCGCAAACTAGGACACAGCAATATCTGAGATAGACCGACCTGAGCTTGCCTATTTTATTCGCATCATCCTGTCATTCGTGAAGATAGTGAGTCAACACATCTACGCGTCATTTTTGACGCATCGCGAGCTGATGACCTCATCTAGTTTGTCTATAAATGACTTTCAAATCATAGGCCCTACAGTTCAAGACTCTTTTTTCAATATCCTCATCCGGTTCCGGCAATATCATTATGTGTTGCCAGCGGATGTTAAAAAATGTACCGGCAGGTTTTAGTAGATGAGTCTGACCGAAACCTACAGCTGATTTTATGGCGTGATGCGGAGGGCAAACCATTACAAACACTCAGGCTTAATACGGATTTGCTAGCGCTAGTTTCCTTGCCAACAGGTGTCCCTGGCAAGTGGGCGAGGAATGTGACGATGTCGTGATTAAGGCAGTCATACAGGAGGACATAGTGTTGATGACTTATTAACTTCTAGCGATGATGACGATCAATTACTGTTTATACAGAAATCAACACATATGGCTCTTTCTATGGCTGGTTTTAATTTACGTAAGTATCGATCCAACTCACCTTCTTTACTACCTTCAGACGTTGTCCAGTCATCCGGCAACCTGACATTGAGTCAGTCTACAAATACGCTGGGCCTAGATTGAAGTCCTTCGTTCGACAGCATTAATTTTCTCATTGCAGTGGATCAGTCTGAAGTCGTCACTAAGCGCACTATACTTTCTTCAACTTTCAAGATCATCGATCCCTTGGGGCTATTATCCTTGTCCACTATCGTTCCCAAAATTTTAATTTGTGTGAACAGGGAAACAAGGAATCTAATCCTATTTTTTGTTGCCTTACCCTACCTACCTATTCTTAAGCAACATATTTTATATTCCTTGTCTATCCTATACCCTTTCGCATATAAAACTGCTAATCTAGATAAACTATTCCTACTCAATAATCCTACCAAATAAAATTCCTATTATAACAATCCTAAAAGAATTACCTAGTTAAACCTATGAATTAATGAATGCAAATTGTAGGCGGCTTGAAAAATAGCATGGATTACCTAGCAAATTCTTCATCTCAATAATAATAGTCTGCGACTGCATTGAAGGAAAATTTTAATTCAGAAGTTATAGTCTCTCAAATTGGACTGGGATGAGCCCGCTCTAAAAGAAATTGTCGATGTCTGGAGACTTTTATTGAAGGACTTATATGTCTTTCTTCACTAAATATACCTAGATGGGTATCAATAGAATATCCAGTCTCTGTTGAAATCCACTGTTTTTGCGATACATCGTAACGCGCCTATAGTGCGTGTTTGTACCTTCACTCTACAAATATAGAAGGACACGTACATATCCAACTTTTATGTGCGAAATCTCGCGGTGCCCCAGCCCTATTACAATTCCTCGTTTGGAGCTTTCAGGTGCTCTTCTTGCAGCTGAAATGAGCTCATCTGTGACCAAAGCCTTGCAACGTAAAATATCGCGTCATGTC